TTTGACTTGAAAAAGCACATACGGAAACTGCACGATAACGCCAGTTGTTTATCCCGCGGAAACGATTCTTCCAGAGGACACCAAAACCAAGACGCCACCAGTGTTTGACTGAACTTGGACAACTGATGAACCGCACGATCTTTTGTGGAATTTAACATCTTCCACCGACATGAACGAAGATGAACGGGACGGGAGAAAGTCATCACATCATGGAGGAATTGTACATAAAACAGAATAAAATATTATTTAATGAAACCACTGCCATACGGGGCTACCAAGCAATTATTTGTAGACTAGATGAAGGAAAAAAGCGTTTTATAAATAAATGCAACTTATGTGTAAAAGAAATGTTTGATAAATTTGTAAATTTGTTGACACAGTAAAGCGAATATGCTAAAATAAAAAATAAAAAACATGAATACAATAATGTCGGATTTCTATTTTTTTAATTTGTAGAAAAAATACCCGAGTTCACCATTTAAAATGTGTGTCTGTTTCACATGAAGAGTAATTGTTTAATTTGTGTGGGTCTATGATTTGTATGATTTAGGAACCGTGCACATAGGTTAAGGTCAGTTGTAAATTAATAGAAACGTGATTATTTGCCATTGTAAAAAGAAAGAAAGAAAGAAAGAAAGAAAGAAACAAACAGGAAAAGGGTCTATATTTATATACTTATTTACATACAATTAGAAAGAAGTTAACTGCGACTTTTTTAAAGAAATAAACTAGGCCTATAATTAGCCACATTACAGTAAATTACAAACCTCATAAGCTAGAGTGATTTTACAGTTTAAAAAAGGGGACAAACAAGACTCAATCTATCAAATATAATTACTATCGATCTATTGCCTTGCAGCCGTTCAGTGCACAGTTAAATGTAAAGCTCATAATGACATGTCTGGTGGAGTTCAAAGCCTGTGGTTTCACTCAGACATTTGATACACGACTCTGCTTCTGTGACCGTGCACTTGACTTCAGTTTAATGGCTCAAATTATCAGATAAAACATGGACTCTTGAAAGCCTGTTACGTTAATCAACTAAAGAGCCCCAGGGGAAGCTTCAGCGCATCAAGTCGTGTTCATCAGTAGGTGGAAAATGGACTGCACTCATCCCACTTCTCCTCATCACCGCAGCTTTAATAAACAATAATGTATTCGGCGCACGGATCCTGGAACAATATTATCCTTGCACGCTAACAGAAATTCTGATGAGAGACAAGCGCGTGATCCCAAATCTCGCTCTCCCAATTACAGCCCAATTAGCAATTATGCCCACGTCTTGGGACCACGAAGAAGACTAATATTACTAGTTGAATGGTCTACTCACCTCCTCAGAGGCAGAGGTTCTAAAATGTGTTTGAACAGAAGTGTCTTTATTTCATTCAACTACATTCGAATGTCGTCCCGTGTGGAATATAGACGTGCTTTAAAAAAACAAAAACATAAACCAATGCATTATTTTACGAGGGATAACCGGGTCTCGAGAGCTACATTGCATACATTTGATATAGTCTACAGACTTTATAATGCGCATTTACTGAAAATGTAAATTTTCTTGGGCAAGCTAAATGGAGAAAAAAAGGCTATAAAAACTAGTCAAATGAAATTTAGAAGACTAAAGATAAAACATATTATTTTTGCAGTGGCATTTTATTGCACCATGTTCTATTATAAAAACTTTCAGAACTGGAAGTATGATTTATTATACGAATAATGCATTTTCAATCGAAAAAAAGTTGTAAGAACTGTCCATTTTGTTCTGAATCAAAGTGCATCATTTAATTAAAGTTTTCGGTTTCAGTTCGATTTTATTGACCATTAATGACATTCAAGGTGGTCTAAAAGTGCGATGATCACTACAGGTTGTAACTTTCATTTTAATTGTAATGTTTTAATGCGTTGGCAATTTGTGTGAGTCTGGATTGGTTAAAACAATATAACATTGGCAAAAAAAAAAAAAGGTGAACTAAAATATCAGATAATTTCTGGTGATGACGAGGTCTGGGAAAATACCAGTGGGGGCGGGTCTCATCAAAAGACATGTTTGTGTGGGTTATAAAAAAAATCCCTTTTGTCCCTATCTTGCCTAGTGCCTAAAAAAGATTGCAGAGAAGAAAACAACCTAAAGGCAGTCTCGTTGGCCTTTTTCTGCACTTACCTCTCAAACATCTGAGCAACCAGCTTTGCTTCTAGAAACATGTTAATTGACAACGGAGCTCATTACTGCATGCACATGTAACGCGGCGAGAGGGATTATAGGGACAAGAGCGCATTAATTAACTGTCAACAGCATAGAGCATGTACACGACAGAGATCAGCCGAAATTGAGGCATTTACAAGCGACAAAAGCCCGGCTGAGACAGGAAGAAAAAAAGACCCAGACTTTTGTTTGGTCAACTCAATTGATTGTAAATGGAAGATTAACGTGGGTAGCATCAGCATTTTTAAGGGGGCGCGGAAGAAAAGGCCCCAATTAAGTCCACCAAATGTTAACTACATCGTTTCTCTCAGTTTAACCCAAATGAAATTCTAATTAAACAGTCCTCCTTCCATCATTTTGGAAAGCAATTTCTCTCCCAGTTGGAGAAGAGCGGGCTAGTTGTAGTACTTGTTAAGAGAAGCGTTGCTTCTTGGCACAAAGCGCTCGCGAGAAGCATTGTAGCGCGCCAAGGGGAAAGTTAATGAGCGTCAGGCGCGCGCTCTTTGGATCCGTTCCTACAGATCGGTGTTGAAAAGATGGACTCAGCCAAGCGACCGCATGGTGTTCTGTACACGTATTTATGTCCAAAAAGATGATGACAAAGAAGGTCAACCTGACAATATGTTGTTTAATCCAGTTTCACAGGCTGTGAACATTCATTCAACGAATAACCGAGACAGCAGAGGCTATTCACAAATAAAATGAAAGTAGGCATTCTCAAATAAAAATACGTATAAAATACAATTTATACAAAAATGACGAATACATATCTACTGTGATGAAAAATGTCAATCACAGAAAAGGGGTAACTTTCATGGCAGGGGGAGAAAAAATAAATTAAAATGTAAAATATCTCATTAAAAGCGGAAATGTATTAAACTTACACTCTTTAACTAAATTAAGTAGTAGTAGTAAAGCATTTTCTTCTAAAATATTTGAAATATTTGAAAATCATTTATCCGCCAAATTAAAGTGGTGTAACCAACATAAGAAAGACACAAGAAAGCCATAAGAAATGATCAGAAAAAAAAAATCATCACATATTTTTCATACTTTTTATATACAAAAAGGCATAGGTAGCTCAAGTCAAATGCAGTAACAGCCAGAAAGCAAGAAAACGAAATGAAAAAAAAAAACATAAGTTGTGTACTATCACACATAATAACCAATGTACTTTTTTAATTGATAGACACCACGCATTTTTTTTAAATGTTGAAAAATATTTTTAAAAGGAAAAAAATCCTTCAACAATTCTTGTCACTTGTCTTAAAACAAAGAACTTGGCATACATATTTACATTTTTTTATGATTTCAGACATCCTTGTTTACACATGGATGTTTGAAATAGTGTCACATGCAAAAAGAGAAATGAAACATGCTTTGAGAGTTCACATTCCCATTCCTAAATGAGCAGGATCAGGCATTATCCCACGCAGGGCCTTGAGTGGCAGACAGCGGTGCCCCCTTCGCTGCGTTCGGCCTGCTCGTCAAGGGCACGCTCAGAGAAGGAGCTTTATTGCTCTAAGGTGTCGAGGCAGCCGCATGGTAGTGGAGTGCAGGGACTCTGCCTCGCAGGAATTACATCAATGTCAGTCTCGGGTATGACCTCCATTCAGAAGCAGTCTTGAGGGCTTCAGGCCACGCAGCTAAAGGGGACCTTCTGTCCCCTCGTCCAACTCTTTACCCACAATGTCTTAAAAGAGACGAAGGTCTGACCTCAAAACAATCTGTTCTATATTCAACAATCTCAGCGCCCTATTATATAAATATGAATGCAAGTGAAGCATTGTGTTAGGAAATAAGGGATATGGGCCAAAGGAAACTGCTAAATGAAATCTAAGGCTTACCAGCAGATCTCCAATAGTTATCTGTTTAAATTGCTGTATTGCTTCTATAGAAGAGTGACCTGTAATCAGTCTCATTGTTTGCCAGGATCAGTAAATCTGGGATGTCCGGTGCTAATCTTTTGACCCAGGATGCCCTTTCAGGACAACCTCCACTCCGTTTCCCAATGGATGGGTCTTAATTAACTCAAGACCAAAAACCCTGCTGTTAAGCTGGTACTCTCTTCAATACACCAAGTTAGAATGTAGGGGATTTGATATAGAGCGATGTGTCACTCACTGATCCCTTAGGCTGTGATTTTACGCCCAGTCTGTGGTGGGTTTCTGAACAAAATATAGTCCAATCCATATACAATTTTATTGGCATCTATGGTTCCACGAAGAAGCTTGAACATCCATGGAAACTTTCCATTGTTCTTTTTAGTGGAAAAAGGTTCCAAAAGTTCTTCACACTAAGAAACCCCCAAGGGCATTGCTGAGAAAATCTTTAGAACCTTTATTTTTAAGAGTGTAAAACATATAAATACATGACTACACACAAACAAGCAATGCGCACTCAAACTACTGCCACAAATGTTGGGATGGAGTGGTTGCTTTGACTACTTGGATTAATGGGATCCAGTGAGGTAAATGGGGAAAATAACAATATCGAAACCCAAAATCAATACAAAATAGAATGACGTTTAAGTTAGCCAGAACAAAAACACAACAGGAGACCCCGCATGACCAGTACTAGTGCTGGAATAATAGTTTCAAGAATGGAGAGAATTCCCCAACAGTCTCCCAAGCAAAAGCTATTTGTGTTTAAGTGCACTACATTGACAAAGATCTTTAGTTGTGAAAAGCTCCTTTGAGAGAAATGGGTGGTACGTTTCTGATGGAAGTCGAGCTTGTTTCGCTAAGGGAAATTTTTAATATTTATACTGTTCCAGAGATCTAATGATCAAAGATGAATGAAAATACTCAAAAATGTCATTATGTATTTTTATTTAGTAATTTTACTATTATTTAATCAAAGTGCCATAATCCTCAACATAATCAGGCTTTCTTGTAACAGCAACTATGCCATTTTTACAGACACAAGTTATTCAGTAACAAACAAATTTGTTCTATCTTCTTACGATAGTGTTCTGAAGATCTGGCTGATGGCCAGGTGTCTGAAGCCCAGAGCTGATCTACAACATTTGGCCTTGGCCTGTGCCTGGGCTCTGACAGCCTCAGTTGGCAGTGGTATCCGTAGCCAAACCACCTCAGGGCTTTCCCTATTAGAATACATAATGCAGAACTAGTCATTTGGAAGGGCTCCAGATCGTGCTCTTCAAAACCCTTTTAGATAATTTGCTGTCGTGCCCTCCACCCACACCCAGAATTCTCCACCCCTCCACAGCCAACCAACCCCCCTGCCAATTTGGAAGCCTTGACTGGTGCCCTGACCTCAGGGGCAGGAGTCCCAGCTGAGGAGGAAGGGCAGCTGCCAACCACCACCACTTCAACCGTGACCATCCAGATGATCGCGTTTGTCAAGCCGCCACTCCGTGTCACCCTGAACTGGTTTGATCATCCAATTAGGCTAGGACACGGTCTGCAATCTCTCCCTCCATGGAGGGACGATAGACAAGACAGTGAACGAGATTAAACAGTATATGCACTCAAAGTCAATTAAAAAAAATATATGTTTTTTATATATACCCACTTAGATACAAGCTACTTTAGAGCTTGTTTCATGCCTGGATTCCCAAAACCACCAGTCTGAATATGAGAAAACGCTAGTTAAACAACAAACCTAATCAAAGAACAAATCAAATGCGTAATTTTCAGAATTATAGACAACTTAACTCTCAACTCAAGTGGCTGACCCTTCAACAGACAGGCAATACAAGAGCAATTACATGGACAGTCCAAGTGCTCTGAGAGGCTTTGTGTGATGGCAGTCATGACCTCATTGTTGTTGAGGGTTCAGGTAGGAGGCAATGAGGTTTAGGGGTGCATTTAAAAGCAACATTTTTGCACACAAATTTGCATTTGTGCGTCTTGAGACAAGATTTTTTTATTTAAGCTGGACATCAGAAAATGTTCTTGAAGATACTAGTAATGCTTAGCATTGCATAATGCAACTCAGATACAGTTTCTGTTACGTACATTTGGAGAGAAATAGTGGGTTAGGAAATAGAATGGTAAATTAATTTTTCTTGAAAACATGTTTATTATTTGACACTATATGGATAATCCTTTTTTTACTTGTAAAGGAAAACAACTAATCTGAACTAATTTTAAAGTAACTTCAATAATACCATTTAATTTGATAGCTAACTGCACAAATAATAGTTTTATTACTTCATTGTAAATCACAGCTGATTTTTTACAAGTGATTCATTCATTTTTCGATACACAGTGGTGTAGTTACAGAAAATGTAGTCAGTATTGCCCCCATGTGGATGCACTTGTGTAAGCGAATGTTAATGCACTATTGAATGAACACATTTATTCTGTATTTGCATATATAATATTTAAATCAAATATATAACACATAAAAATAAATAAATAAAATAACAATTTGGGGCAAAAAATATAAATAAGTTACACACCAGACAGCTCATCTAGGTTTGGGTCGAGGTGGTTTACCCTTGCATTGTGCAGGGGAGGGATCTTGTTGTCTAGTTTTCAGTTTCTGTTGTCTAAGCAATCTCCCAGTCTCACTCACCGGCGGTTGCCCTTTCCCAAGCAAATACTGCTCCCATTCTGGTAGTTTCCGTTCAACTGAGGCCCAATAATGAGTCTATGACAGGACAACAAAAGATCAACTTGTTAAAGGAGCAGATAACTCATAAATATTTATTTCTGTATCATATTCTTAAAGGGTCACCGGATGACAATTTTCCACAAGCTGATATGATTCTTTAGGGTCTTAATGAAAAGTCTATACTTTGGTTAAAATTTCTCAATGGTAGTGTAAAAACAGCTCTGTTTTCAGCAAGTCGTTTTAGTCCATGTTCCTTTAAATGCTAATGAGCTCTGCTCATCCCGCCCCTCTCTTCCGTGGGGTGACGAGCAATACTGTAAACTTCAGCCGTGAAACTTGCTAACTAGCACATTATTAGGAAAGGCGATTTGCAAAGATTTATAAAAAAACCTTATACTTCTTATGCTTCTGTAGATGAAGCTGGATCACGAATGATTCGTGTGAACATAAGACACATTTAGGCAGATCGGGGATCGGCGCATTCCCTTCAAAAACGACAGTAACATTAATCCTCCAGCGGCTCAGATGTCGGGAGTAAATGACGACTGCTATATTCATTCTTACATCCAACAACAGAACACCTCAATCACTTAATCGGAGACATTCTTGTCTTCCCCTGCACCGGATTCGACACAATGGCGGACAGATCACAGCTCACTCAGGGCGGGTCTAAGG